TGTGTGTGTGTGTGTGTGTGTGTGTGTGTGTGTGTGTGTGTGTGTGTTGTGTGTGTGTGTGTTTATGTTTTGCATGGATGTGTGTATGTGTACCACATGTGTACCTGGTGCCAAAGAGGCCAGAAGAGGGTGACAGGGGTGACAGATTCCTTTGGGACTGGAGTTCAAGATGGTGGAGTCACTGTGTAGGTGCAGGGAGCTGAACAGGGGTCCTTTACAAGAGCGATATTCGTAAGCTTTCTTAGCTGCCCAGCATTGAATGTAAAACACCTCGGTAAGTAAGTAAAGAGCAACCCCAGAAACCAATGTATAAAGGCTCTTCCTTGTAGAAATCCCAGGCTCCGGCCAGGAAATGAGGAAAACTTTCTGCCTTAGTTTCTTTTTCTGGTACTTGATTAAATAACTGACAAACAAAACATAAGGGAGAAAATGTTTCATTGGCTCACAGTTTCATGGTACAGTCTACCATGGTGGGGTCAGAGCAGCAGGAGCTTGCAGCAGCTGGTCACATCAGATCTAGGACCCGGAAGAGGCAGTGGATGTGGGCATCTGCTCAGTCCCCTTCTCCAGGATTGCGGACGGGGAATGGAGCCACCCACAGGGGGCAAACCTTCTCACCTCAGTTAATTCCATCATGATAATCCCTGTCCTCCTCTGTCCTACAAAACTGTCTCAGCTTAACTTTCCAATTGGACTTGTCTGTTCTCCCATCAGTGTGTCAGATTTTGCTTCACGTATCTTTAAATTCTGTTGTTGCATGCCTGTGTATATGCATATATGGTTTTTATGTCTTCTTAACTTTTTATCACTGTGAAGTGACTCTCCTTGTCACTGTTAATACTTCTTATCAAGCATTCTTTTTTCTAATATCACGAGTGACCACATCACTTTTCTTTCTTTCTTTTTTTTTTTTTTTCCATCTCTTTTTAAAAAATTGTTTTTAGGGCCAGAACGATGGCTAAGCAGGTAAAGGCGCTGCCACCAAGCTTGTGACCTGAGTTGGATCCCTGGGACCCTCCTGATGAAAGGAGAGAACTGACTCCTGCAAGTGCCCTCTGACCTCCACATGTGCTTTGTGGTACGCACATGCCTACACAAGCAGACATGCAGACACACACACACATCAATAAAATGTAATGAACATTTTATGAAAACAAAAAATATTTAAAAATAATAAGACGTAATGAAAATTGTCTTTAGGTGTTTGTTTTGCTTCTGCGCTGTTAGACACTCAGGCCAGGGCCTCGTGCTACACAGGCGTTCCGCCACTGAGCTAATCCAGCGGCCCATTTTCAGTTTGTTGTTCTTTTCAGTTCTCGGGGTTGAGGCCAAGTTCTTCTGTATGCTAGCAAGCACCCTTTCTTTTTCTCCTTCTTCTCTCCCTCTTCCTTCTTTCTTGTCTATTTGAGACCGTCCTGCTGTGTGGCCCAGGTTGGCGTTGGACTCAGTCTTCTGAACGCTGTCATCACAGGCCTGTGCTTTCTAGTGAGCCTTTTCTTACTAAATTTGAAGTGAAATGACTCAAACAGCACCTCTAAAGCCAGTGTACATTATTCCTCACAGATTTGAAAATCCTGTAAAGTGACATTCTATTCCATTTTCATTAATTAACTAGTTAATTTTTAAGACAGGATCTCTGTAGACCTAGCTGGCCTGGAACTCACAGAGATCCACCTGTCTCTATCTCCTGAGTGCTGGGATTAAAGGTGTGTGCACCATGCTTGGCCATCTAGTCCTTATTTACTCCTTTCTTCCTTCCTTCCTTCCTTCCTTCCTTCCTTCCTTCCTTCCTTCCTTCCTTCCTTTCTTTCTTTCTTTTTTTTAGACAGGGTCTCACTGTAGCCCTGGCTGGCCTAGACTTGCTATGTAGACTAGGCTGGCCTGAATTCACAGAGATCTGACTACCTTTGCCTCTTGAGACCTGGAATCAAGGGCATGTGCCACCATGCCCACACCCTCCTTTTCTATTTCTAAAATCCAACATAGAGGCAGCCATGCCTGTAATTCCAGCACTTAGAACCAACTCCTGAGATAGTCTGAGACAGGAGGATCATGAGTTCAGGGCAAGTCCAGATACATGCCAAGTTTAAGGCCAGTTTGAGTTATATAGGGAGTCTGTCTTTTGAAGAAAATGAAACACTGTCACCCATTGGGGCTCCTTTTCTATAGCTTCTTTGACATATTTACAGCAGATAGGTTGATTCTATGCCTGCTCCTTCTAACAGCTAACTCTCACATTTGTTTCCTGCTGACATTTTTCTTTTGATTATTAGTTCCATTTTCCTGTCTCTCCTCTCTGATACTTAGAATACAAGTCACCGTAAATGACAAGCTACAGAGACACTGGCTTCCATTTCCTCAGCCATGTCCTGAGTTTTGCTCTAGCAAGTAGTTAAATTGGAAAATCACTTTGATCCTTGTTTTCTTCTTTTTCCATTTTTGTGTGGCAGGGGGAGGAGGTGAATGTGTCCATGTGTGTGTTTGTGTGTGTCTGCGTGAATGTGTGTGTGCGCGCGCATGTTTTCTTGTGTGGGGGTTTTACCAGTGCATATCTGCAGGTGTCTGTGTACATGTTGCCTGTGTGGGGGCTTGCCAGTACATGTGATGTGGGGGCCAAGGTTGGTGTTGAGAATCATGGTCACTCCTCCGCCTCACTGAGGCAGGGTCTCTCAGTTGAGTCCACTGTGACTAGTCTTGCCAGCCAGCTTGCTCTGGGGATCCTCATCTCCCCCTTCTAAGGCCAGGATTATGGGTGGGCCACCATGCCCACCTGGTATTTTATGTGGGTTATGGAGACCCAAACTCTAGTCCCCATGCGTGTGTGCTGAGCACATTGGCCACAGAGACATCTCTCCAGCCCCGATCACTGGGATTCTGTGGAGGTTTAGTTTAAAGCAGCGGTTCTCAACCCGTGGGCTGTAACCTCTTTGGGGGTCAAATGACCCTTTCACACGGGCCTCCTGAGACCATCAGAAAACAGATGTTTACATTATGATTCATAACATAGCAAAATTACAGTTATGAAGTAACAATGAAAGTAATCTTATGGTTGGAAGCCACCACAGCATGAGGAGCTGTATTAAGGGGTCACAGCATTCAGAATGGTGAGAACCACTGGTTTAAAGGTTTGAAAAGGTCTTCACATTTGCTTAGCCTTGTGGGTTTTCAGTGGGAAAAATCGTGTTGACCCAGCCCCTGTAGGTTGGCAGAAATTAAACTCAAAATTGTGCCTTCCCAGCCCAGGTGCCATAAGGTCCCTCTCAGATCACTGACCTCCGATGTTTCCAGGGCTCTTGGTGTCCCCCTCTGTCCTTACCAGTCAGAAATGAGCCTGGGATTCGGGGTGTGGGTGAGAACATCTGAGGGCTGCCTAGTCTTCCTTTCCAAGGTCTCCTAGGCTATGACTGAGATAGCCCTCACTTGGTCCCATGTGGTCCTAGACTACAGCCTCTCCAATGCCTCCATTTTTTTTTTTTTTTTAATACTTTGCCCAGAGTTTATTGCCTGGAGAGTTACTCCAATACAAATTAACCTACCATTTGCAGGAGGTGGAGCTCCACCCCTTCATGCCTCTCCACCTTGGTTTTCCTGAAAAAGAAAATCTTGCTGTTTATGCTTTATGTAAACTCTTTTTCTCACTTCTCAGAGGACATTGATGATGTTCTCGCTTCTGGGTTTGCTCTCTAGCATTTGTGTTAGAGGCGCTCTCCTGGTGGCCTTTATTTAAGGAAGCTGAGGGCTGGTAGAGTGCTTACCTGGCACAGGTCAGGCCTCGGATTCAGTCTGCAATGCCGCAGGAAACAACAGCACCACACTGGGATGGTGGGTTTGAGTGGCAGCTGGGTGGCTGCAAAGGCCAGGGCCTTGATATTGTGCTCCTCAGATGGCTTCCTCCTGTGTCTTTCCCGGAGGGCACATGTTTAGCTGCCTGCCTTCTGGAAGCTCACTAGGGAAAAGGCTGGAGGCTCACCACTCAGAGCACACACTCGATCCCTCAGATGTGCTTGATACCTGTTTTCTGTCTTAGAAATGCACGTCCACGGTGGGGTGTGGACAGTTTCCCATGGACTTGGGCTGGAGAGAGCTCTGGACCTGCTTCTCCAGACTCCTCCAACTCACCCCTTTCGTTTCAGTCTTCACCCTCTATTTCCTGGTATCATTTTCTGAGCCCTTTGAGGATTCTTTGGACAAACTGGGCTCTCAGCTTCCCTGCCAACCTCAAGTCTAGCTTTCAGGCCTGTGTGTGAGAGTGTGTGTGTGAGTGTGTGTGTGTGTGTGTGTGTGTGTGTGTGTGTATGAGTGTGTGTGTGTTCATGCATTCATGCATACATGCATACATACATGTAAGACCACACATGTAAAGGACAGGACAACTCCTTTCACCGTTTGGGTTCTAGGGCTCACGCTCAGGCCATCAGGCTTGCACACATGTGCCTTCTACCTCCTGAGCTATCTCGCCGGCCCGAGTCTAGCTTTCTCACATGCATAGTCTCACTCGCCATCTGCTTTCCAGCCTCCAAGATTCGGATGGTGAATTCTCTGATTTTCGGAAGGGGAGGACATGAACTCAGAAGCCTGCAACTAGAAACTGTAAAAGAGATTGCTTTTGTGGCATCGGTTGATCAGAGGGCAGAGTCTTCAAGTCCACGGGCTTCAAGTACTTCTGAGTAGTCAAACCAATAGGGAACATTTTGCAGAAAACAAAGTAAGTGCTTACGATTAAGAGTTAGCGACGACAAAAGCGGCCAGCGCAGATGAGCACATTTGCGCATGAGCAAAAAGAGAAATGACTCAGGCTCCGTCTGGTCTTAGAAGGAGACTTGGGAATTAGACCTTTTCCTGGGGCTGTACGCTACTGCTGCTGTATCTGGAGTCCTGAGGGTGCCCGATGTTCTTGCTTCACTGATGTTCGGTGGGGCTGGGGAAGGTCTGGGCAGGAGAATGAAGTGACAGCTTTGTGAGGGCAGATGTGAGCACTGGGGCTCTGCTGGGATACAGAGAGGTAGCCTGTCTCAGAGCCACATATATGCCTGAACTTCAGAGCCCGAGCTACCGGCAAGGGAGGGTTGCTCTGAAACCCGACCAGGTAAGTTTAGCAAAACTTTACCACGGTAGGTCAGAAACATGGCCTCTGTATACTGTATGCAAGTAAGTGTTCTCTGTCTGTGAGGACAAGTGAATAACAGAGCCCCTGCCTTCCCCACCGGAGGTGGGGGAGCAGATGTCTGAGAGACACTGACACACTTAGAACTTGGACATTGAAGAAGGCGTAATACTCTGACTGCGCTGTTAACAGAAACACTGGACTGGATGGAGAATGGGAGGCTCAGTGGAATGGGAAAACTTGATCTAAGTTAAGAGCTGAGTTCAAATCTTGACTCTGTGTTGTCCTCTGCTGTGTGAGGACTTAAGCTCTCAGTCTTTCTGATCTTCCTCCAGTTCTGGCAAAGGTTAGATAAAGCAGCCATAAAGCATACAAGAGGACCAGTAAGGTAGCTGTTGATTGGTTGCTGAACTAAGTTTGAACCTTTAACATGTGTGATGAGTCCCTATTGGAGACCAGGCTCTGCATATAGGCCTCCCCTGTTCTCAAAGTCTCTAGCTCAGCAGCATCCTCTGTCGCTCAGGATGGACTGAGCCTGTAACGTTGAATGTTTTGGTCCTGCCTGGGCTGCACTGGATTCTGGGAGAGAATGTCTGAACACTTTATCCCAACTCAGCACCCTCCATTACCCTGCTGTGTAATGGGAGACAATGGTGGCAGCCATGTCTGCTGTCCAGTAACCCATTTCTGTCGCAGAAACAGAAACGTCTGTCGTGTGCAGACGCACGGAGTTGACAGTCTGGGGAAAGGAGAGGCAGGGGAGCAGTTCCGACCCTGTGACCCTGGGAGTTAAGGCTCACTCTCCTACAGAGTGCGTTCACAGCCTGTGAGTGTCAGCACCATGATGAGTCCAACGGCTGAAGACCGTGTGGGCTGCCCCTCAGCTGGGTGTGTGAGCTCCTCATTCCTCCAAACCAGTGGGAGGTTCTGAGCCACCTGGAGTGCCAGCATCTCACCAGCAGCCACTGCGCTGGCATCCAAATCCTGGCTTCGATGCTTCGGTGTCCGTGGACGTTTTCATGACCTAGGGGGAATTTTTGCTTTGGTCTGTCCCTAAACCACATTGTAAGCCTTCCTTTCCCTGACGGTCACCATGTTGGCCGGAGGCTTCTGCCCTCCACTCTCAGTGCGCTCCCACTATCAGAAATCGTTTAGCCTTGATCTTGTTTCTTCCCTTTTCCAGAACTTACCTGCTGTGTGTCAGACTGAGCTGTCCCTCTTCCATCCTGTACTTCAAGACCTGCTATTGTCCTGCTGCTGGTCACAGCCATGCCTGGGAAGAAGGCGGCGCCTTCGGTGGGAGAGCTCTGCATACACCCCTTTGAGGCCCAAGGGGGCAGGGAAGGAACTGTAGGATTGCACAATCCTAATCTGTGACTCCATGTGTGAACCAGAGGCACCTAGCCTCATTCCCAGAGACCTTGCTGTCCCAGAATGGACCTGCCTGAGAGCTGAGGCAAGCAGGGAGCCACCAGCCTCCTCGCTTCCCAGTCTCCACCTCCCAGGAGCAGCTGGCTCAGCCATGGAGGCCCCACGGCCCTGCATGTGTCCACCCCACTGTCTCATGCTATGAGATTATGTACAGGAGGGACACGGCATCTTTCTGAGTGGATTCTCCTTCAGAATGTGCCAGTGTTTCTGCGGTTCATAATCTTTCCCTGCCCTTGCTGTTGTATCTCTTGGCTTTTTCTCAATAGGCTGCCTTTCTTTCCTCACTAGAAATCCTGTACAGGGTTTGCTCCCACCCTCTGTGGGGCCGGAGGGTCTGAGGAACAGAAGGTTCTTGACCTTGGTCAGCCTGTGAGTGACTCAGCATCTGTTTAGTCACTGGAGAGAAGCTGGGGTTGAACTGTTTTCCCTTCGATCCTAGAGAGCTCCCCAGAGAGCAGGTTGATTGAGCCAAGCGTGCACATCACTGTGACAAGCTGTTGGCTTATTGCCCTCTTCCCTTATAGCTAAACCAGCTGACAAAGATCTGTAGCTTGGTGGAAGGCTCCTACAGTGGGTCACAGATCCTCCCATTTTATTTTAAATTGACTCTGTTGGGCCTGAGGGGTGGGGTAAAGGATGGAAATCCTATCTGTAGATATGAAGCTATGTAGATGGCCTTGCAATCCCTCGCTCCCACAGCTCAGTGTTTCTGTGAGCCTATGTGCTGAGGCCCCTGGAGACCTGCCTGTTTTATTGCCCTGGATACCAGCCCTCGGTGACTTCCCAGATGGCTCCTCTGACAGCCTCCACACTTAGCTGCAGTCACCAAAGTAGCTCCCTGAGCAGAGGACATGGCCATCTCTCCATTAGCAAAGACAGGCTGTGGAGCACGGAGTCCCAGCACTGTGACAGATGCCTAGAGTCTGACCTTGCAACCACCTTGGGGTCTGTGTCTTAAAGCAGCTGGGTGGCTGATAGGAGGTACTCCAAAATGGTTGCAAGACAGAGTGGCCACAGCTAGAACTGAACCCCCAAGTAAGTTGACACAAAAGTGATGACATCTGGAAGTCTGTGTTTCATGCAGCAGAGGGTAGGGGCGTGTGGCTGAGGCTATTGGCCAGGGTTCCAGCTGCCTTCTCTTCTCCCAGGGGGAGCTACTTGTCCTCTCCTCTGAGGAGGAGCTACTTTTCATCATAGGCCTCTACACAGCTTTGGCAAGTTCCTACCACTGCTGGGCCTTGCAGGTGGGGCCTGGGTCAGTGGTACTCTTTGAAACAGTTGCAGGTGACTGGCATTTCCCTGTATGCCCCCATCAGCAAGAGAGGGAGCGACTGGCCCGTGGAGTATTATCTTAGTAAAGTTTTTATTGTTGAGGAGACACCATGACCATGGGCAGCTCTTATAAAGGAAAATATTTAGTTGGGGCTGGCTTCCAGTTTCAGAGGTTTAGTCCATTATTGTCATGGCGGGAAGCATGGCGGCATGCAGGCAGGCATGGTGCTGAGGGAGCTGAGAGTTCTGTCTCCAGCTTGATCTGCAGGCAGCAGAAGGAGACTGTGCCACACTTAGCATAGCCCACCCCACAGCAGCACTCTTCCTCCAACAAGGCCACACCTACTCCAACAAGGCCACGCCCTGTAATAGTGCCACTCCCCCTGGGCCAATCCTTCAAACACATGAGTCTACCCAGGCCATTTGTATTCAAACCACCACAGGTATTCTCTGAAGAAGAAGAAAGAGGAGGAGGAGGAGCTTATGTGGCACTTAGTTACAGGGAGAAATACCTTGCCTCCCCATTTACTTTTCTCTTCTACCCTGTCACATCATGAATGGCAAGCAGAGTCACCCTGACTGCTGAGGCTTCATTCTCTATACCCGGTCCAAGAGATCTGGAGAAGAGCCTAGATAGGGCTAGTAGAGGCCTGTCCTAGCCTGGGTCACAGTTGTCTTTGGGAAAAGCACAGCTCATTTTGAGCCACATATATCCAGAATGTTCTTTCTCACCTTGTTTGTGAGAGCTGGCTCTTGCAGCCTCACTGTTCTCAACACGTAACTTAAGCATTTTTGCTCCCCCTGATTACTGGGAAACTCAGAACACCGAAGAAGTGCTTCAGGGTAAATAAGATAGGTTCCAAGAGACCTGGTCTCGTCTTTGCCTTTCTGGGCACTAAGTGCTGAGAGGGTCTCTCATCACAGCCTTTCTGGGCCCACAGTGTTGCCATGGCAGGTCCCCATTGCTCAGTGAGCAAATGAGTAGACAAACTGAGACTATCTTCACAGGCACATAGCACTGCCAGGTCCCCTGGGAGGACTCAAGAGACCGTGCAAGGCGTCCCTTCTGGGCCCAGACATTGCCACCACTCTGATAAACTGAGGATTTGCAAAAGAGGGGAACCAGAGGAGGCTTCCAGAAGCACCCACAGCACTGCCTTGTCTGCGGCCCAGTGTCTATCACTCAGGGCCCAACCAGGAAAGCAAAACTTGTTTTTAGGGTTCAGTACAGAAGCAAAAAGAGCAGAGGGGCGGGAGGATCCGCTGTATGCAGCGAAGAGGCCATACCACTGCAGGCCAGGGCCACTGGGAAGGACCCAAGCCATGAGGAGTCAAAGAGGGGAGGAAGAACGTGACCTCTTCCCCCTGCCCTCTGGATTTCTGTGGGTGCCTTCCACTAGATGACTGCAGCCAGAAGCCAGCTACCCTGGGAGACTGTGGGCCCTGCCCCCAGCCTGTAGCAGTGGAGAGCAGGGATGGGCTGATGAAGAGCAGCCCTGTGGCACATCTACCCTTGTGTGCTGTGTCTTCGGAACCTGGCAGTTCTAGGCAGTGCTAAGACCTTGGGGAAGAAGGCAGAGGAGTGGCCCGCTTGGGTTTTGTAGGTTGTTTTCATTCTGCTTTACAGGGAGGGAGGGAAAGCCTTTCTTCACAGTTGTCCTTGCTTTCCTTTGGAGGAATCTGCCCACTAAAGCACCCCGCCTCGTGCTCCCCTCCGGAAAGCCATGTCCTGGTTTCTGTGTGCGCCCCGTGCCTGTTCCTCTCTTCCGAGAGTCTGTTTTCCCCCAGCCATGAGCACTAACCAGAGCAGGCCTCAGTGCTCAGGAAAGCTCTCTCCCATGCCTTGCCAGTGTGGCCTGTCTGTAGGAGAGGCCATCTATCTGTCAGTTTGTATTGTGTTTCCAATAAATTTCTGGAAATCATGCCTAGTGTCATGATATCTTTTCCTGGGCCAGTGGCTCAACTGCCCATGCTGTCTCCAGGCTTTGGTGTCTGGAGGACCTTACCTGAAGGATGCCTTTGCCTGCTCTCAGAGTCTAGGAGAGATAACAAGCCACCTCCAAACTGGCAGCAACCTTTCTCCGGGGTTGGATGTGCTGTTTGTTACTGCCTCACCAGCCACATCCTGAGAACGTGGTAGTTTCAGGAAGCTGTGCCCCGAAATAAGTGCCTTTGACTTAGCGCCACTTAGGCTTAGAGGTGGGAGCAACAGATAGGCCTCACCCTATTAGTCACCCACAGAGCCACTCCTGCACTGCAGTGGCCAGCACTGAGTCCTGGGGGCACGTGCTGGGGTGCTTGGGAAGGTGCAGAGACAGCTGCTGTGCCCTGGCCCAGGGCTGCCCTGTCTGGCTGAGCACACTGCCTCAGCTCCTCCACTGAGGCAATTGTAGAGGAGAGTAAATCATGAGAGAGTCCCTCCCAGCCTGTGTGAAGGACCCTTGTTTGCTGCACTATGTGACAGATGATTAAAAAAGCAAAACCAAAGGAGACGGTGTATTTGCTCGGTTTGTGTTTATTTTTAAAATATCTATTATTTACATTTTTGTAGAGGTGTATACATATATACCTGGACTTACATGTGCCATGGAACATATGTGGAGGTCAAGGGACAACTTCCTGAGTTCTCTCCTACCAGCTAAAGCCTGAGGCTAGAACTTAGATTGTTAGGTTAATTGCGAGCACTCTACCTCGTGAGCCATCATCTCCTCGGCCCAGAACCAATAAACAGGAAAAGGGTTGGCTTATTGCATTGGCTTCCTTGTCAAGCAGACAATTGCATTTCCTTATGTCATTCTTACTTTCCAAATGAAAACAAAACAAAATCATAATTCCACCTAAAATGATATAACTATCTCACATACACCCACAAACATACTATCCCCACTGGCCCTAGAATTAAGTGCCAAAGTCCCCTAAGGAACTTAAGTTCAATTTCTCCTGGTGGTTAGATCAATTACTGTTCCTAATGCTGTGATTTCTATCTGAGTCACTTGACTCAAAGACATCAGGAGCCCAAAGCAGCCAGGAGAAGTCAGAGCTTTCAGTTCAGTGTGTGTATGCTGATGCACCTGTGCCTCGGTGTGTGTGTGTGTGTGTGTGTGTGTGTGTGTGTGTGTGTGTGTGTG